AAACAACTCAAAATATACATGTATATGCGGTGTAACTCATTTAGCTACCAAAAATGCCAGAGTATTGAATGTAAGGTAGAAGATCTGGTTTGGTTAAAGCTCCAGAGGAAAAAATATGGCTTTGTCAGTTGTTCAAGTGTGTGAGGAAATGCTTTAGCAATGTCAAGTTTGCAATGGATCTTGCAATTACTCTTAAGCTGTATAATACAATCACCCTACAGTTGTATCAGAATTCTCCTTTTACACTAATAATAAAGATCAAGAAACTCCAATTAGAAGAGAGAAGAAATCAATAATACAATTATACCCCATCTGGCCATCTGGTTAGTCATTACACCTAGATATATAAGAGATTGAAACGCAACAATGAACCTATAAACCGAGGTATAACCAACTACTTCTTCAGAACTTGCTTGATCTAGTTGCTCCTCACGTCTCACCTCCTCAAGCATGCTCACATTATCATCAATGGTTCTTTGATCAGTCGGTGAAAATCTTTCTATAACTCCAGCTCCTATCATTGCATGAAATAAGTCTATTTCAATCTGTGAATAGGCGTCTCGCCGTCTCCCGCCTATCATTCCACACTACATCTGAATCTTAATGAATATACACACATATGAGATCCTGGCAGAAGAAATGGACTCTTGAAACAACTCAAAATATACATGTATATGCGGTGTAACTCATTTAGCTACCAAAAATGCCAGAGTATTGAATGTAAGGTAGAAGATCTGGTTTGGTTAAAGCTCCAGGTGCTTGAGAGAATTCAGATGATATTATATGTCAAACATACACTATTCTCATTTGATGTATAATCACATACATATTACTTGTACAGTATACTTATATACTAAATATATGTTACTTCAGGTTTTGTCATTTCAATATCAAATTTATGGTTGGTGTTTGGCATGATTTATCAGTTACAGTTCTAATGTAGCTTTAGCAGAGAATGCTCTAAGAAGCTCTTCTGCTTTTAGTGAAGTGAGCTTTTCAAATCCTACAATGTAAGCACAATTGGTTCCTGAACTCAAACTTGTGGCCATGGGTTTGCCCATTTTTTCATTATTAATTAGATGATAAATGATGATGTTTCGCATGTCCATGTCTTTTAGTGTCGTAAGCTCTTCAAGTTCCATAATGTAACATGTTGGATTCTATTGAATTTTCTTTCTATTGTTTATTCATTTATTCACCTATCATTGACTCATTGGTTACCTTCATGGATATTAATAACTTCATGAGGCGATGTTTATCACTTATGCAGACATTGGCTGCATGGAGATCTAGGCTTCAGAAATGGGGCTATGAACCTATCTTTTGCAGTGCTAAGTTGATGCTTGGAATTGATGCTTTGCAGTTCATTATGAGAGAAAGGACCTCAGTAATTGTGGGACCTAGTGGTGTTGGAAAATCTAGTCTCATTAATGTGATGAGAATCAATAAATGTGGTGCCTCTGGTGCTGCCAGCGAAGGCATGGGATCCTCTCATCCAGTGAGCTTTTTCTAGCCTTTAATATGTTTTTCATAAATTTCTCTGGAGAGACTTGTCAGGTTCTTGACAGAAAATGGTTTGGAGAGCAGCAAAGTGTTGGGGAAGTGTCCACCAGAAGTGGAAGGGGGAAGCATACAACCAGGAACATTTCCTTACTTCCAATATCTGGAGGAGGGTATATTGCTGATACTCCCGGATTTAACCAGCCTAGTTTGACTAAAGTGACAAAACAGTCCCTTGCTCAAAATTTTCCTGAGGTGCATTTTCGCTGGATTCACCTACACTTTCTCAGTTATTTTGAACCAATAAATGGCCATAGCATTACTTTTTCTTCAGATCCTAAAAAGGCTCGAAGACAAAGAACCTGTGAATTGTTCTTTCAGCAATTGCTTGCATCTCGGCGAACCAGGGTGTGTTGTTGGTGGAGACTGGGAAAGATACCCATACTACCTTCGGTTGCTTGATGATATTAGAATCAGAGAGGAAATTCAACTTCGGGTTATAGGGACTAAACAAGAGAGTGATGTCAGGTGTGTTGTTGGACTGAATTCTTTCTTTTTACTTTCTTTTTTAGGGAGGGTGGGTGTGTGGCAAGTTTGACAGTAGTATCGAAAATCACGACTATTAATTGTTCTACTGTAAGCTTATTTATTGTGGTACTGTACGCAGTCTCATTATTTTTTCAGGTATAAAGCGCGAGATAGAGGTGTTATGCACGCCGAACCAAGGTTAGAACCCAAGAAACACAGGAGACAATCCCGTAAGGAGGTGAACCAATCAGTATTGGACAAGCTGAATGAACTTGAAGATGATGAAGACACCACAGATGGATTGATGACAAGCCAACATTATTAAGGGAAATTATACTACAAAAAAGTACTGGTAAAGAGACATTAAATATGGACATTCTGAGCACCCATTTATTGGTTGATGATCACCATCATCCATTGAATGTGTCATATTTCATGCTTCTCTATGATGTTCATATTTAATGTCCGCTAACATTAGTCAACAACTTACTCATCATGGAAGTTACCGTGAATAAGTAGTGAGTGTGTGTTTGTGAGGGGTAAATGAAACCGTTGATTTTTAGAGGCCAAGAGTATGTAGGTGTGAGACTATCACCACTGAAGAGGTTAAATAGTTGAAGCTGGCATCACAATGTTGATTAGTTTGTTGTGGCTTCCATTGTTCTTCCCTAAGTTTTTTACATAGCCTGGACTCATTGAAAGAAAAAAGAGATGCAAAATGTAACATTGTGAATAGAATAACCCTAGTGTGGTAGATGATCTTTCAGAATTGCAGTCATCTTGTCCTGGAGAGTTCATGTTCATGTGGGTTATATTTTTGAAGGCCTAATGTTAAATATTCGGAACCCTCACAGATTGTCTGTGATTTTGGCCAATTCTAGAAAAATTAGTTGTAACGTTTGCCAACACTCGAAGCTTACATTCTTTTCTCCTAACTTTGGCCAACACTCGAAGCTTAAATTTTTTTCTCCTATGCGAAGCTTGCATTGTTTTAAAAGTTGCAAGTGGAGCATTTTTGCTGAGGAGACTTTATAGCAAGATTTTTAATCAAATTTGCAACTTATTCAGTTGAGATTTTTTTTCAAAATTTCAACAAATTTTGAAACAATGCACTTCATTCGTTCTAGTTTAGTTATAGCAATTTGACTTTTACATTTGATAATATAAAACTGCAAGCAATATTATATTTAATCAGTAATTGGTTAGACGAATTAACAATATTTTTTAATACTCTAATCAATGCACTTAAGCTTCAAATTGCCCACACATTTGATTTCACATTTCTTGTTCTCCATGACTCCATGTCTCCATCTAGCCATCTAGGCGTATTAAGTTACTGTTGAAATCCAGCAAGTTACTAGCACAGAGCCATATATCATGCTAACAGCTAATACTTCAGAGCCATCGAATGGCAGATCTAGAATATCAAGATTTACTGATGAAATGTGGAGTATGGAAGGAGGGCAGGAACTGTGGATGAACTAACCAACAGGTAACAGCCTTGCATTCTTACATTACTACGTCACCTATGTTCACACTTGAGAGTCAGATAAAAGGTCGTGGAATCGTGGATGATCAAAGTCTGCTGCGAGTTAACGCTCTCAGTAGGGCTGGACTCGGTTCGGGCCGGGCCCGGTTCGGGCCTTGAACCGGCCGGGCCTCGGTTCACCAATAGGAGGGCCCGGGCCCGAACCGGCGGTGACCGGTTCCGGGCCCGACCGGGCCGGTTCCGGGCCGGTTCACCCGCCCCTATTTTTTTTTTTAAATTTTTGGCTTCTTTTATTTAACCCTCTACCCCTCCTCCTCAACCCCAAACCACCCCAAACCACCTCAAATGGCCCAAAATAACTAATCCAACCCAAAAATTAAAAAAATTTCAAAAAAAAAATAAAAAAAAAATTATTCCGGCCCGGACCGGGCCCGAAGCGGCCGGGCCGGTTCACCAAATGGAGGGCCCGGGCCCGGAACCGGTATCCACCGGGCCGGTTCGACCCGAACCGCCGGTGGACCGGGCCACCGGGCCGGGCCGGTTCGCACAGTAACCGGGCCGGGCCGGTTCCGGTTCGGGCCGCCCGACACTTTAATAGTGTTTTGGGAATCAAGATTCCAAATATGGAAGCGTTGCACATAGTCATGGACCCGGGCCGGGCCGGTTCCGGTTCCGGGCCGGGCCCGGCCGGGCTTTTTTTTTGGGAAGGAAGGCCCGGGACCGGCCCGGGTAGCCACCGGGTCCGGTCCGGGTCCGGGCCGGGCCGGGCCTCCGGTTCGGTTATAATTTTTTTTTTTTTTTTTTTGCTTTCCTAACCCCCCCACTCACCCCCCACACCCCCCCAAACCCCCAAACCCCTCCTAACCATCAAGCCCAACTTGGTTAACCCCCAAAAAAGAAAAAAAAATTAAAAAAAAATCAATTCGGCCCGGGCCCGGGCCCGACCCGGCCGGGCCGGTTCGCCAAATTCAAGGCCCGAGCCCGGACCCGTCCACCCCACCGGGCCTAGGCCCGACCCGGACCCGGACCCGAGAACCGGGCCGGTTCCGGGCTCGCACAGTGGCGGGCCGGGCCGGTCCCGGCCCGGGCGGCCCGAACCGGGTCCATGCCTAGTTGCACAGCGCGAATTAAACAGAGGCTAAGTATCATACTCCAGCTAATAGGTAGCCCAATACAATTCCTGTTCCCTAACCATAAGAACCTTAATCTCAACCCGCAATAACAGATGCAAGTTCAGGTTGTAACAACGGTTTTGGATCCATTTCATACGAATTCCATTCTAACTAGATTTGCAAACTATACAAAGCAATAGATCCAAAATTATACATTTAGGAGCAGAACTATGGTTCAGTTTCATACCTGTTAGTGATTGAATCCAAAACCATGCCTGAAATCCATTTATGATATTTTATGAACCAGATTATAAATTAATATATAATCTATTGATAGAGGTCATCTAAATAACTACGACTGATGCATGCGAAGTGAACCCCAAAAAAGCAATGTCATTTATCAAACTAATAATGAAAAGGTTCTTCAAAAACAAAAACAATGCATAATAAATGTTGGACACAAGATCCATGTAAGAAACTAGTACGAATGGATTGCACACAAAATGGAGCAAAAATGTAAAATGCTCTGGAAACTCCAACTCCTCTTTTGTATGACTGCATGACTAAGCCTTTCCAGATTTGCTGGTTGCCAGCTGAGATTCGGGCTGCAATTTAAACAGCAAGGGAGAGAGAGAGAGAGAGAGCAGGTTAGTCCGCTTACACTACATGATTTAAAAATGAATCAAAAACCACAATGATTCAGTGTGTCATCCTCTCCAATAGTTGAACCAACCTCTTTCTTGACAGGCTCTTCCTTTTCAGACAAGATCAATTCAATGTGGCAGGGAGATGACATATATGCTGCAACCAAATACATGAAAAAAATTTAAAAAACCTGGAACTGCTGGTACCAAGCAGATAAATAAGAAATTAACAAGGGAACATGGAGCACATACGGTTAATTCTCCCATGAGCACGGTATGTGCGGCGCCTTTGCTTCTGTGCTTGGTTCACTTGAATGTGGGAAATGAATAGGGAATCTACATCTAATCCTTTCACCTTTAAATTATATTATAAAAAAAGAATCAGCATATAAGAACACAATATACTCTACTCAAGAAAGGTAAGAAATTGCTTTTGCCCTGAAGTGTATCCACATACCTCAGCATTGCTTTCAGCATTCTTGAGCAAATCAAGAATAAACTTCGCGGATTTTGCAGGCCAACGTCCTTGTCCATTAGGGTGTCTGTTCTTTGCCTGTGCAGTTCGTCCCACACCACGGCAGAAACGAGTGAAGGGGATGGCTTGCTTGTGTGCCAAAACATCCTCCAAATACCTTTTAGCCTTCACTAAAGGCATCTTCCTGAGAGCATGAGCTGTTTCCCTAGTGTTCTGTTCGCGCACATAAGATTAAAACAAAGGTCATTCTCTAGTGGAGGGAGAACATCATGCATGCAAAAACTGAATGTGTTCAGCAGAATAAATAAAAAGAATACATCACTCAAAGCAATTTATAAAGACTTTGGGGAAGATGATTGTTACAAGATTCGACCTAGAATTGTGAAAGAAAACAATTGCAAGCCATGGAACAATTTGCTTTGTGGTGTTGATGCAATGAGTCTAGGGGATATACTAATTACTTTATAAATGAGTGTTGCACAAAGCAGTCAAAGCAGTGCTTCTTAAGTATAATGAAAAGTAATCACATTTCAGGGAAAATAAAGATGGAAAACACTTTCCAATGTTGGGTACGTAGTTTGACTAGGGAAAATAGAGGTAAATAATCCACATTTGAGTGGAAAGCAACTCTCCTTGGGTGATGTGAGAATCACAGTCCAAGGTTCAACTAAAAACTTTTAATACAACAATGTTACTACGTGCATCCCAATATAAGGTTCACTATTTAATTTTTGGTTGTGTAACAATAAAAACTCCATTATCATTTCAAAGAATAATTGTATTGGGTGGCTGATATTTTATTTTCACTTTGATCATTTTACAGTAATCCTGGCCACAATTTTAAATTTTTCAGTAGTGTCACTTGTAGGTTCTTTTTACTGTGTTCCTTTTATGATGTTTTTTGTGGCTTTTCTTAAAACTAGTGGTTCATCCCCCACCCCCACTTTAGAAAAAAATATTATATTATAATATTTTCATACTCGTTTTTTTAAAATTGAACCTCCCTTGCATATCAAGCAATTGAAGATGTTTCACCTTTCATTTAATTTTCTTACTTGGTAAATAAAAGAAAGTGAAGAAGAAACATCTGAGATAATCCAAAAACGAGAATGGGTCTGTCAAATAACAACGCAAATTTATCTCCCATATGAAGATTGATATCACAAAAACAAACGAATCCCCTTTTCACTGGAAAATTTCTCAAACAAATAATACTCTGTAATACAAACTGAACCCTAGCTTCGCACACAAAAGAAAAAAAATCAGACTAATAAAAGCACCAACTCTAACAGTAAAATAGAAAAGTAGATCGGTACCTTGAAATGAACCCTTAGATCGGAGCCTCTGGCTTTGCAGGCTGCAATGCATATACATATCAAAAGTGAAAACATGGACAGTGTCCGAAGGAAAAGAAACATATGTTCACAAACAAAAGATGCTTTGGATTAATCATAAGGATAATTGAAAAAAAGATCTTACACTTGGTATGATTGTCTGGCTCTCTAGAGTACTTCACCTGAAAGTTAACGAGAAATGCGTCTGAGATGTGAAGATAATAACTTACGAAAAAGCGCAAAACGGAGAAAACGTTAGGGAAGATACCATTGTGCTAGCGGTCTTCAGCTGTGACTGAAGTTCGAGCGGCTTGGAGAAGCAGGAGAGGAGGCTAGGTTTCCTTGAAGATAGGTAAATATCTGTGAATATTTTAGCCCTAATTCCCCCATACGGGCGCAAAACTTTCCTCCGCGCACCTAATTTACAATTTTGCCCTGGCTGTGGGCTACCCACTTAGGCAGGTTAATGGGTCGGGTCTATACCTGGACCCGTCCAAACTCAATTGTTTTTAACTGATTCGAGTCTATATTTTATTCTGTTTACCCCGATTTGGACCTATTAGCACTTTCTTTTTGCATTTTTCTAAACCTATAATAGTATCTGCTCTAGTCAATGTCAAATTTATTAATTGAGATGAGACTCGAACCTGCGACATCCTCTTTGGAAGATCGGCAGTGATGTCATCATACAACAAGATACTTGGCGACCCATTAGCACTTCCAATAAACAGGTTGACTATGATACATATGATTCTGATCCGTTAAAGACCCAGATCCATTTAAAAGTTCTTATATGTATACAAACACACACACACACTAATATATAAAGTGATTAGTTATAACACTTCAAATAACAAAAAATACAAACTAATACACACACACAAATATACATAATACGGAGTAATAGTGTAATACATAGAGTTATTGGTTGTATTTTTTCAATTAAAAATATACTCACTAATACATAACTACTATATAAGTGATATTGATATTGATAGGAATAGTGAGATACCCTAAAATTAATATTCATTTTGATCGTTTATACATACTGATAAAGTGTGTATTAAGCTTGATAGGGAAATCATAGTATTTATTATTATTATTATTATTATTATTATTATTATTATTATTATTATTATTATTATTATTATTATTACTACTACTACTACTGTGACACCGCTCCCAATTTAAACTTGGATTTATTAATCCATTGATAATAAAATCTAAGGGAAAGTGCAATTACAAATTTCGATAAGGATGACTAGTTAAAGTCATGGATATATATCCACTTTGAAAATTTGTTACAAGTATATCGATCATACTAGAAATGATTAATTGATTTAATTGATACCGATTAAATAAATTGTGAGTCGGACCCCAAACATGGGGAGGGACTAACTAATACATATTCTAGGACCTCGGTAAATTGAACAAAAAGTCCAAGGATAAAGAAGTATGTGAAATATAATTGTTTGGGCCGAATAAAAGGTAAAGAAATAAGACGGGAGACTATTTGAGTCTACTTATTAATAATAGAAATATAATTGGGTATGAGCCCGAATATTGGGGAGGACCATCCAATACATTTTAGGATCGACCTACTATGGTCTACTAGCCTAAAATGATATAAATAAATGAATAAAAGTCACTTAGGCCCAACCAAGATATATCAAGTAACCAAAGTGGCATTTTCCCCCAACTTACCGAAAACAGCGAGTATGAGGGTGAAGAGCGTCCTACACTTTAATTCGGGGTATTCCGTATAAAGTGTAGACCATAATCAACGGGAGGATTAATTTGTAAATAGCTTCGGACCCGATTTAATAGAAAGGGGTAGCCCATGAGTACAACCCAACCCACTTAGCCCAACTTTCTAATAATAGAAAGGATAAGGGGTGGGAAGACTCTCCTCCTCCCATTTGGATAGCTTTGTGCGTGAGAATAGAGAGAGGAGGGAGCTCATCATAAGGCTTCACACGTTCCTTGGGCAAGGAGGAAGAAAGAGGGGGATTCCGGGAAGAAGAAAGCCCGATTCTAGGTAACCGAATGCTAATCCCGCTCAAACTAGTTATTTACTTCGTTTTGTGAATATGATTTTTAAGAAATCATATTTGGGATCAATGAGCATGTTCTACACGTTTAAAAGTGTATAAATATGATATAAAGTGTTGGGAATTAACTTAGAAGAGTTGTGGAATCGATAGGAATCGAAATCGCCGGAAACCGCCACTTCTAGGTGCTGTTTTCGTGCAGCAGAACCCAAAAGCCGGTCAGCTTTTGCAAAAGCCGGGCGGCTTTTGCTCTCTGCCAGCCAAGGTCATCTCAGGTCATTCCCGATCGAAGGTTTAACGACGGGGCTTCAATAGGCAACCTTCCTGGACATATATAAGGTGAGGATGGCTGACTATATTGTCTATAACTCGTGAGTTGAGCATGAGATTACCTAAGTAATCAAATTATGATTTTGATGGAATTAAATGATATACTCCAATGTGAATAAATGTGTTGCTATGTGGTCATACAAATTGATACATGATATTACTAAGGTGGATAAGCAAAGGCATTGTGCATGAGGGGAGAAATCCTTGAAATATATTAATTATTGAATTGATATAGAGGATTAGCATGATATAGACAAATGTTGATAAATGTGTGATTCCATAAGATCTTAAAAGGGATATATGGATACCTATGTGGATAGGCAAAATGATTAAATGCGAAGTAAGGAATACTTGAGTTATTTACATGATCAAAGTGATATGAATCCGTAGTGATTAATTTATGTGCTATCTATAGTGTTGAATTAGATAGGCATGAACTTAGAATGAGTGATGGACTATGGTCACACTCAAAGGAAATGGTGGAGTCTACCTAGACTATATGAAGGCAGCCCGGGGAGTCTTGATGAAGACTAGCCCGAGGTTGATAGATTATGATTGCTCGTGTACAATGAGTATACGGGGATATATATACGGGGTGTGTAAGCCCTAACGAGATAGATGATACTACGCGGGGTGTGTAAGCCCTACACGAATAAAGTATTACGCGGGGTGTGTAAGCCCTAATGAATAAAGTATTATACGGGGTGTGTAAGCCCTACATGATAAAGTATTACGCGGGGTGTGTAAGCCCTAAATGAGTAAAGTATTACGCGGGGTGTGTAAGCCCTACACAAACTAAGAATATACGGGGTGTGTAAGCCCTAAATAAATCAAAGATATTATGTTGGGGGTGTAAGCCCAAAATGAATGAATACACCCGTAGGGTGGGTAAGTCCAACGTGGACGAGTACAAATGATAAATTGTGTAACCCTCTCGATGGAGTTGGGTTTAGACTAGGGGTGGGGTAACCTCCCGAGATTGTTATATGCATGAATAGGCCAAGGGCTATACAAAGGGAATTGTTTTGAAATAAAAATGAACCTACGGGTTGACTATTTTGACTTGGTATATATATTCTATACAAGTGATTTGAAATGGGGTAGCTGTAGGTTATGCCCATAATATAGTATCACCCTATGTTGAGGGTCTTGTGTTTGAAACATGAATTATATTCAGTATAGTTGTCATTGTACTTGTCAAATGCTTCCAAGTACTGACCTCCCCTTCACGGGGGAGGCCACCTCACAGTTTCAGGTAGAAGCTAGAGCTTGCTTCCTGTTCCCGTTGCTTCGGGTGATCCATGGAGAGAAGGCGTGGTTCGTGCTTCTTCCAGTTCTATTTTGATATAAATAAAATAATGCTCATGGACTATTTTTAAATTATAAATGATTTGGGAGCCTGCGTGCTCATGTTCGCCCTGTGTGGCCTTTTACTTTTAAAAAATATTTGTATTCCGCTGCGTATATTTGAAATGCTTTATTTATGATTGTTTATGGATGTACTAGTGTGAATGGTATTCATGTACGCCTTGCATGGTTCGAGTAGGGTGAACTGCGGTTGCCTTAATCGGATTATGCGGCGGTTGTTAGCGCGTCCGGCCAGGCCGGGGCGTGACAATTAAATGGTATCAGAGCCTTAGTCCATAAACTTCATAATAAAGTTCCTCAAAGGTGTTTTCTTCAAAATGATTTTTGAAACCATGAGCATAAAAGTTTTGTACTGAAAGAGCCTTTGGGTACTTGAGTTGCAAAGTCTCTAATTGTTAAGACGGGCCCCTTAACAATTGGTATGGCGGTGATTTGAGCCAAGTGGTGTCTTAAGTACTTATCTGTCAGTTGACATTGAAGCGAGTCTGATGACTCATTCCAAAAATTTCTTTCAGAAATGCGAGGTGGAGGCATGATGACTAGGAATGATCGGATAGGGCGTGCACCGGGAGAAACTGGGCATGTCAACCGGGGAAACTCTAGAGTATCTAGAGGAAAAGGGAGAGGCCGAGGAGGCCAAGGGATCCAAATGAGGGATAACGCACAGTTTGAGACCGAGTATAGGTCTTGGGAGTCCGAAGAAGACTCAACGTATAAACCCGAAACAGAACCTTCTGAAACTTCATATGATGAGAGTGATGAATCTATTGGTGAGGAGGACAATGATGTCTCCTTGGATGGAATTAGTCAGGTATTTGAAAAATACCAACGTGAACGTGAACTAAGGAAGAACCAACGCCAAGAGAGGCGAGTTGAGCAGGTGGCTTCCAAGAGGGGCAGTCGTGACGCGTGCGGGGCACATAGAGAGGGTACTAGAAATCCAAGTACCGAGAGTCCCATTATAATGGTCTCTAAATATCTTAAAGAGGCAAGGGCGCTCGGATGTAAACCGTTCGATGGAACGGGGGATATATCTGAGGCCGATGATTGGGTTAAGAGGCTTAATGAGGCAGCCGATGATATGCAATTGACGCCTAACCTAAAGATGAGAGTTGCCACTAGAATGTTGGAGGGATTAGCTTCAACATGGTGGGAGGGTGTCAAGGGGAAATACAACGGAGACGTCACATGGGACAACTTCGAGCTTGAATTCTATAGACAATACTACTCTTCCTTTGAAGTAAATCAAAAGAGGAGGGAGTACACTACCATCAAACAAGGTGACGAGTACACCGTCAAACAATTGGAGCAAAGGTTTCGAGACTTGGCTAGACATCTCCCTGAATATGCAGAGAATGAGAACCGTATGGTCGACCACTTCTGGAACGCGTTGAAATTGGAAGTGCGGGAGAGGGCGGCGTACCAAAATAACATGATTTTTAATGAGGTGGTGACACGAGGCCTTATTGGGGAAGAGTTGTGGGAAGAAAGAAAGACTAAAGATGCCGAGGAGGCTAGAAAGAGGATGTGGGAAATCAATGATTCCCATGATCGAAGCAAAAGACAAAATATCGGGGTGGAGGGAAGCTTTAAAATGCCTATGCCACCGTCAACGTACAATCAAGGGTCCGTGACCCAAGGAGGGAAATCCTTTAGTTCTAGGGTGCGAAGATGTGATAATTGCGATAAGTACCACTACGGGACTTGTCGTGAACCAAAGAGGTGTT